GAGCACTTTGGAGGCCAATCCCAGGTTGTAATCTAAGACCTGGGGACACGTTTATTGAACTTCTATTTTGAGCCAGTCTCTTCTCCTCTACCTCTTCGCCTGTTGGGCAAAATTGTGAGTCCTCACCTCTGAGGTTGTTATGAGGATCAGCAGTGCCTGAGACATGAAGGGCCCCAATCTGGTGTCGTTTTTTCCTTTTTTTAAATACTTTTTATTGATTTCAGAGAGGAAGGGAGAGGGAGAGATAGAAACATCAATGATGAGAGAGAATCATTGATCAGGCGCCACCTGCAATCCACACATTGGGGAAGGAGCCCACAACCCAGGCATGTGCCCCTGACTGGGAATGGAAGCATGACCTCTTGGCTCATAGGTTAACTCTCAACCACTGAGTCATGCTGACTGAAAATCTGGTGTCATTTTATGACCTGATGAAGGCATGTGTATGAGAGACGTGTGGAAGGAAGGGCTGTTTGGAAGTCACATGTGTGTCCCCCAAGCCTACAAGGCTAATCAGAAGCTGTAGTGCATCCTTGGTTGAATGGCAGATGAGTGCAGACAAAAAGGATGCAGGGATGGTGGGTCTCATCATGGATCCTAGACTCAGCCCAAGTCAGGAGTGAAGGTGGAAATTTCATCAGTGGGTTGGTCTAAAGCACTAAGGCACTTAGGGCACCTCTGACCCGGAGGAGTCCTGCTCCCATAAAGTTCTAAAGACACAAATAGGGCAACCTCCAAGGTATAAGGGAGCTGAAGGGAACCACGCGTGTTTCACTCGCATTTATTTTTATTAAAGCAACAGTCACATAACATACAATTGAGCCTTTTAAAATATGAAAATCACAAGAATACAGTAAATACACAATGTCTCAATGACAACGTCTATCTAGTTTTAAGAAGTTTTTAAACTCCCCACCCCCCCACACACAAAAAACAACAACACCAAGCAGTCCATCTCCCATCTGTCCTGTTGGTCAGCCCCTGACAAACCAATCTAACTTCTATTTCTATGGGTTTCCTTCTCCTGGACATGTCACATAAATGGAATCACACAAAACCTGATCTTTTGTGTCCGCTTTCTATCACTGAGCTGCATTATTTTGACATTCGCCCACAATGTACCACGTACCCGTCCTTTGTTCTTTATGGTTTAAAAAATTGCAGGTTTGTGAAGACACCTCATTTTGTTGAGATGGATGTGGCCCAGCCTGAAGGGGTGCATAGATGTGAATCCAAACCAGCCATGTGGGCAGACCCTCATGTCACAGGGTGAGAACAGAAGGGCAGTGGAGGAGAGTGAGTGAGGACAGGGAGGGAGGGACAGCACCACAGGTGGATGGAGGGGGCATCCTCTACAGGGATAGGGCCCACGTTCTCCTGCACCCAAACCTCATCTACCACGTCTTCTCCCCTGGACATTCTCAGCAGACAGTTTCCCCAATCATGGTCCACATTCTCTCTCAGCACCTCCTGGGTCATCAGATGGGCTCCAAGGCTCCCCCACTCTGAACGGTGTGTTGTTCCCTCTGTGTTCACATGCTGGCTGCATCCTGGGTCCTTCTGCTGTCATTTCAAGCCTGAAATAGCAGCACCCCGAGGACCACCAGGACCAATCCAGCCAGGCCCATCCGGATGAGATTCCCCACTGTGTAGTCTTGGGGTTTGGAGGCTGGAAAATGTGGATTCAAAAGTTGCAAAGGTCAAGGCAGACCCTAATCTCCAGGATTTTGATGTTCAACCTGGACTCCCACCTCCCCTTGACATCAGCATCCCTATGATGTCTGAACTCAGCACCTGTTCTGAGTCACCTTGATAAGAGTTAGCTGTGCCCAAGAACTGAGGATGAGTGAAGAAATGGTCTCAATTTGGAAATAAGAAAGAGCTATGTGTTCTGTGTTCAGCCTGAGACTCAAGACCCCATGAGCTTATTCCCCTACAGCTGAATGAACCCGGTTCTCAACAGCTGGGGACCCAGGGTCCGTGGAGGAGCGGACCCAGGCCCCTCCTCTCTGGGCTCTGCTATTTTCATTGTCACCTGAAGTTGTTCATCTATTGATTCTTTTATTAACTCGTTTATTATACAATAATGAATACGTTCAATGGTAGATATATGTTCCAGATGAAAAATATGGGTATGTGGATGCTAATCATGTGATTTTTTTTAATCTCAAAAGACAACAGAGTTCACAACCAAGGAAGTACAGTTCTGCTTCAAACTTTACGTAACAGAGAAAATCCCACTACTTTGCAATATTGAGTAAGCACCAATTGTAGGAAATTATGTCCATCTGTTACCCCATTTTGATATAAATACCAAGATATAAACATAAATTACGGACCTCTCCTCATCACAAAGATCCATGCAATGATTTAACTCCCAGCTTCCACAATTCAGAAAATGCACGTGGACGATGAACATTATTCCGTTGGGTTAATAACCAAATGGTTGCTACCAAGAAGCTTTTGTAATGTGTGTCATGTGGTTATAAGTCATAGAGAAAAGGTAATTTGGGCAGATGTGTATCTGTCAGAAAAAGAGCATTCCTAAGAAACCATAATGAAACGAAACAATAGAAGCAAAGAGACCCCTGACACCAGGTGGTCACAGGGCTCACCATGGTGACGATGGGCCCTGGGTCAGCCCAGATGGAGAGTTTGGGGACGACTCCCAGGAAGAAATCAGACCTGATAGACCTGGCAGCCTGTCTCCCCCTCATCACGTCATGAATGAGCCAAGGATGCCATTTAATGAGCACCTACTGTGTGTGAGTCTCCTGCTGGGGTTTGTCACTCATGTCCTCTCCTCATGCAGCAGGAATGAATGACCCCACCATCCACACACTGAGGCTCAGAGAGATTAATCACGTGCCCCAGGTCACCCAGCCTGGACAGGGCAGGGCCGGGACTGGAATCCAGGACTGTGAGTTCCCTGTGATGTCCTCACGCTTCCCCCCAGGGAGAGACCAGCTTCCTGCTCTGGGCTCCTCCTCTGCAGGGGCCTGTCCACGTATCCTCTGGAGCTGAGGGTCCTTCCTCATTACCTGCCCCCAGTACAGCAGGGACAGGGAGGGTCAGGCTGTGGTGTGGACTCTGAGTATCCACGGGTCCATCTCAACTTGGCAGGCCCTGATGCTACCTTGGGAAGGTCAGGCTGGGCTGGTGCTCTGCCTTCCTGAGCTCTGTGAGGCCCTTATGTCACCTCATCTCCCAGCAGCCTGTGAGCAGGATGGGACCAGGGATGAGCAGACAGGAACCCAACACTCAGAGGAGAGAAGGGACCGCCCAGCCCCACAGCAGGAGCAGCAGAGCCAGGAGCTGAGCCAGGGCTGATCCACCCTGTTCCCTCCTCTGAGCTGAGCCTGAGCTGAGGAATAGGACTAGGCACATAGACCCTTGTCCTGCCTGTCCCTCCCTGTACAGTGCCACTGCCACTGAGACAAAGGGGACAGGCCCCATTACATCACGTCCTGAAAGCTTCCCTGGGAAGCCCCTCTCCCAGGAGGTCAGGGGTAGAACTGTCAGGAAATCTAAGCTCTCAACAACGATTCTTTCCTTTCACACTTGGAGACACTGAGGCGAAGACAGTGGAAGGGATGTTCAAGTCAGCAAATCCACAGGGGCCTGAACCCCTTATAGCTCAGCCCCTGTCCGCAAGGAGGCACCCACCACCTCCCCATGGAGCCCCTCACTTACCCATCTCCGTGCCTGACACTGTGGGTGGGAGAGTCCAATCCTCAGAGCCTGCTGAAATGAGGATGGGGCAGGAGGGGTGGTGGCGGTCATCTCCCCACATGACCTCAGCTCCCCCTCCCCCAGCCTGTGCCCCCACATCCGTCTCTACCATGACAACCCCACCCATCACTGCCTCGGACCCTGGGACTCCCAGCCCCCTTGGGACACAAGCTGGTCCTTGAGGATCTGGGTCACTCGATCCCCTGACAGACTCTCAGGACTTGCTGGGTGGGCTGTGCTCCCTCTGAGTAGAGCTCCCCGGGACTCACCAGCTGGGGAGGTGGGCCCTGTGGGTGGGGAGCTGGGGCCTCCAGAGGGTCCTGGAAATGAGGACAGAAGAGGGTGAGAGACTTTGGCTGAGCTTGCACCCCATTTCACACAGACACCCTCTTTCATCTGTGCTGTAGCCACTGACACCCTCCCAGTGCTTCAGTATCCAGGTGAGGGGAAGGGGGTGGACGGGGTGGGAAACCTCTAAGGAAAAGACCTCCTTGGGGCGACCATCCCTGCAGCCCCTCATTCCCTTACAGCCCATGATTTTATGGGGACAAGACCCTTAGCTGACATCTCAGCACACAGGGTCAGAGGCCCTCACCTGAGAACAGGAGCTCCAGGGGCTCACTGGGGAGTGACAGCAGGAAGGGGGAGGTGCTGTTTGAGCTGTAGCACCTGTAGGTGCCCCCGTGGGCTGAGGTCACAGGACTCAAGAAGAACTCCACCTGGAACACTTGAGCCCACCTTGTTCTGACCTGAGACTCACCAGACTTTACTCTAAGGACCCTCCTCTCTGTCTGTCTCTGTTTCTCTGAGTCTCCCCTCTCCCTTCCCACACCCTGTCTCTCTCTGTCTCTCTCCCTCCCTGGGGCCTGCACTGTCATTCTGGCCTCACCACCTGAGACCCCCAGCAGGGCCTGTGCAGAGTCTGGGTCCCTGACTGAACCCACTGGCTCCTCATCTACCACCAGGATGTCCAGGGGGTCACTGGGGGCCGACCACTCAGAGGAGAGGTTGTATCCACCGTAGCATCTGTACCGGCCCCCGTGGGAGCTGCTCACAGTGTCCAGGGGGGAGTGGACCTGAGAGAGCCCAACCTGGGGCTGCAGGACAAGGCTCTGGGGAAGGACCCGTCTGCCCTCCTTGTGCAGAGCGAATCTGTCATAGCCGACATCAGAGCGACACTGGAGGGTCAGGCTCTGTCCAGAGGCCACGATGGGGCCCTGCTGGCTCAGGAGGGAGGGCTTGCCAGACTCACCTGGGGAGACCAGACATGAATTACAGGGGCTGCTCCTTCCATAAACCCCTTCACGTGATCTGGCCCACAGGTCTCACTGTCTCTCTCCTTTTCTCTGGCCCAGGTGCCCCTATACCCACCTCACCATCTCCCATGGGGCTCCACACACAGCAAAGATGCCAATTATGTATCCAGTCCCTCAATCCTTTGATGAGACAATAATGGGACTTACCTGGAACCAGGAGCTCCAGGGCATCACTGGGGAGTGACCACACGTAGGGTCTGTTCCTGTAGCAGCCATAGCATCTGAACCTCCACCTCTGTGTGGGGGTCACAGGCCCCACAGTGAACAGGGCCTGGAACTGCCCACTTATCTGTGGCTCTGAGTCCTGGGTCCAGGAGAGCCTGTGATCCCCTTCCTTAGTCAGAATGAACCTGTGAAACCCCTGCCCTGAGCCACACTGGAGGGTCACGTTCCCTCCTGAGGTCACGACAGGGCTGGGCAGGGCTGAGAGGCTGGGTTTGCTGTAGCATCCTAGGAGAGGAGGAGGCAGTGTGTTAAATGGGCTCACACCTCCCTCATGTCCCCCAGGGCTGGGCTGTGAGAGGGGGACACCCTGAGAGCAGACCCCCTTCCTGAGGGCAGAGCCTGAGGCTCAGACCCCTGAGTGTCCTCTCACCTACTGTCACCACCAGCTCCAGGGTGTCACTGTGCTCTGACTGGCCACTGGGACTGCGATAGTAACAGCCATATCTCCCTGCATCAAGCATTGTCATTTGTGTGATGGAGAACTTGGCTCTGTCCCCAGAATCCAGTGGTTTCTGTTGGTCCAAGGAAGCTGTGCTTCCCACTTTATACAGACGGTACTCCTCAGCCCTTGGGGTCCCCTGACACCAGATCGTCACAGGGCTCTCCCAGAAGATCACAGGGCCTGGCTCGGCCCAGATGGTGGGTTTGGGGTGGGTCCCTAAAAGGAAACCAGAGCTGCTTTACAAAGACCTTCCCACCCTCATCCCCAGCTCAACCCAAGACCCTCTCACTTTATCACCTCATCCCAGGACCTCTGTGCTCCCTGCTGAGCCTCAGGGATGAAGTAAGAAGAGGGACATGGAGCCTGGGGAGGACTCACCTGCCTGCACACGGGTCCTCTGGTCCAGACTCAGCCCTGGAAGAAAGTCCCTGTGAGAGATTTGCACCCGGATGTCTCAGCTGATTCCCTTCCCATCAAGGCCCCATCCACTTGAGCTGCTTGAGCCTGATGTTCCCCATGAACAAGGGGATGTAAACACTCTGTCCCTTCTCCTGCTCCCCCTCCTGCCTTCCCTCCCCGTGTCCACAACTAACCGAGGCAGAGAAGAGCAGAGAGGATGGACGTCATGGCGTCTGCTCTGAGGGCTCCTGCTCTGCAGATGGAGGATCCTGGGCCTGAAGAACAGAGACGTACAGGATGTGGTGGGTCCGGAGCTGCTCCCGCCTTCTGGGTTTTCACAGCTGTGGACCCACAGACAAGGGAGGGCCCCGCCCTGGGCCTGGCTCTACCTCTCCTCAGGATGGGGGCTGAGGGGGACACAGGTTCTCAGGTCTCACTTGATCCTCAGGGTCTCATGTGTCTGATGTCTGACTCCTGCTCTGATAGGGCGGGACCCAGGTTCTGGTCCTGATCCGCCCCTGAGAGTCTGGCTCTGAACAGCCTAATGGGTCCTGCCACCACAGTTCTTGAGGGAACTCATTAATAATAGACTCTGCTGAGCAGTTTCCCAGTAGCCTCAGCATTTCCAAGACTTTCCCAGGTTCAAGGGTCCTGGTAGGTTCCCATCCCTGCCAACCCTTCATGTTTCCGGCCTTTTTAATTTTCATTATTCAGTGTAAGTATTGGTACCACCCTGTGGTTTGATGCACATTTATTTCTTCAATGATTTATAAAGCTCAGCACCTATTATTTTAAAAAAAATTTTTTTTTACTCCTCACCTGATGGTATTATTTCCAATGATTTTTAGAGAGGATGGAAGGGAGAGAAGGAAAGAGAGAGAGAAAAAGATGAGAGAGAGAGAGAGAGAGAGAGAGAGAGAGAGAGAGAGAGAGAGAAACATCAATGTCAGAGAGCTACCAATTGGTTGCATCCCACATGAGGGTTGAGGAGCAAACCTGCAACCAAGGTACATGCCCTTCACCAGGAAGCAAACCTGTGACCCTTCGGTGGTCAGGCTGATGCTCTAACCACTGAGAAACACCAGGCAAGTCCAGCTCATCACCTTTACGTAATGTCACTGCACCTTTGCATGTCAATATCAGTTGCTTGATAAAGGTGTTTGCTTGCTTTTCTATTGCTCTCTGCTGCCACATTACGGATCTGTAATATTTCTTAGGTGATCTGAGGGCCAGTCCGTGGTCTCATTTTGCCATCGCAATTATCCTCTTCCCTGTCTCGCTGGTGTCTATGAGGATAGAAGTTCTTCATGTTAGTGATTCCACTGTGTCCATTTCCCCCTAAGTTCGTGTTCCTGTGTGCACTTAAAGAAAAAAATCTCTCACAAGTTAATAAGTTAGTTTGGTAAAAGAAATAGTAATTGATTGACTTTTCATGTTTTGGCATTGCTTATTACAAATGCTGCAAGGCAGGTAAGATGTTCACCGTGTCCTAGAGACTCACCCACTGGCCCAGCACCATGTGATGGAAAGACCATGACCTCCCCACTGAACGGTCCAGGTGACTGCACACGAGGGGTCTGACCTGGAGTCTTCCTTCTTCTCCTTTGGATGAGGCGTCTCCACTTTTTAATTACGCAAACCTCCACCATCTTTATCTGTATTGAATGGCTGGTTTCATTTCCTCCATATCTCAGTCGAGAAGAATTCTCACCATCTTTGTGGGGAAGGCATTGGTATTGCTGAGAAGTCAAGGGAGGAAGTGCCCTACTTAAGTGTCCTTCAACCATTCAGGATGTGGTAGCGCCACATGTCTGTGTGTGTTGCTGCCTTGGAGCAGGACTCCCATGAACGTCATTCTTGTCTGAATCCTGAAGAGTCTCCACAATTGGAAGAGGAGAGTGACACCTGGCATCAAAGGTGCTCTGAAGGGACAGAACTGACTCCGATGATTCACCCCCAGGACATGGAGACATCCCACTGCTCACAGAGACAGAAAGTCTCTGTCTTTCTGTTGAACCTGTGTGAGATGTAGGACCTGCATCCCTGGGCCAAGAGGAGGCGCTGAGCTTCCCGTAAGAGCAGATGCATCTTTCACAGCCCCCAAGCTCCTCCAGCCTCCACCCATGGGCTCACTGTCCTGAGGGCCCCTGGGTGTCCCCAGTCAACAAGGCAGCGAGGGAGGTCACCCCCCAAGGCAGCCGTCACGGCCACCACCTTCCTGAGCTCTGAGCTCCACACCCTCACTCCCTTCTCCAGTTCACCCTCCACATCTGCCCTTGCCACTCCCTTTCAGAAGCTGTTTATGGGTAAAACCTTCCATGGTCCTCACTGTCTTCAGGGTGAATCCACACTCTTCCTTCTTAACTCAAGCCTGTTCATGATCATCCAGATGTGACCCTCCCACCTCAGCTCTCACCTCTGCTTCCCTCAGACAGATGGGTATAGCTGCCCATGAACACACACACATTCACACACTCACACACACATGCACATTCATACACACACTCATACATACTTTCATACACACCCACACACTCACAAACACACATGATTTTTCATTTTTTTATTTCATATGTTTGATGTATAATAGTTACATTATCATTTAATCTAAAACATTCACTTCTGTTTTGATTCACACATTGATTATTTCAAAGTCTGTTGCTTTCTTTCAAAAATGCAGGGAATACATTTTGGAAATAAATGTATGTTTTTTCGGTCTAGGAGGTTTGGAGAGGAGGCAGCTCTGTTCAGATGCGCTCATGGGGCCTCGTGAGGGGACACAATGTGGTCCTAACCCAGGTTGTGTGTCGGGGGAGGGGAAGAGGTTCACTGGGATGAGTTTGGTTGGAGGAGGCGTTGGCCTCACTGAGACTGGAGAGTGTAGCTCAGCCTGATCGTCAGCAGCATGGATTGCCGGTTGGAGAACCCTGGTTGTAACTGGAGTCAGGAGGGACTCATAGGCAGGCTTTGTGCAGAGGATGGTCAGTGACAGGTACGTTTGGGTCCATGAGAATGAAACACATGAGCCAACAGTGAGGGTCTAGAAGAGGTCAGAAGAAGGCTGATGCAGTCACACCAATGAGCTGTCCTGGGTCTTCACCTGAGTTTGTCTGTGGGGAGAACTGGGTCACAGGAAGGAGAATAGGGAGCCAGAACGCTGGGATTGGTTCAGTGTGTGAGGAACACAGAGGGGAGTATAGAGGACTCGTCCTTTCTCCACCTTGGCTGCCTGCAGGAGCCAATGGGGCTGTATCCAAGGTTGCTGACCCCAAGAGGAACAGGAGGCCTGGGGGATGTTACAAAACTGTCAACTCACCCACAGAGGCAACCAGCACTGCCCTCCAGGCCTGGGTGTGTGCTGCTGCTTCTCCCTATCACTTCCTCTCTCTGCCATTCTTGTCTCTGTGAGCAGAGCTCCTGCTCTCCATCCCTCTCTATCAAACCTTCAGAGTCCTTTCTGCCTCCTCACCGCCTCTTGTCCCCCAGACAGTACCTCTTTGTCTAATGGTGTTTATTCCATCTCCATGCTTTGGGTAGAAGAGCACTTTGGAGGCCAATCCCAGGTTGTAATCTAAGACCTGGGGACACATTTATTGAACTTCTATTTTGAGCCAGTCTCTTCTCCTCTACCTCTTCACCTGTTGGGCAAAATTGTGAGCTCTCACCTCTGAGGTTGTTATGAGGATTGGCAGTGCCTGCGACATGAAGGGCCCCAATCTGGTGTCATTTTCTTTCTTTTTTTAATTTTTTTATTGATTTCAGAGAGGAAGGGAGAGGGAGAGATAGAAACATCAATGATGAGAGAGAATCGTTGACCAGGCGCCACCTGCAATCCACACATTGGGGATGGAGCCCACAACCCAGGCATGTGCCACTGACTGGGAATCAAGGCATGATCTCTTGGCTCATTGGTTAATTCTCAACCACTGAGTCATGCTGACTGAAAATCTGGTGTCATTTTCTGACCTGATGCAGGAATGTGTATGAGAGACGTGTGGAAGGAAGGGCTGTTTGGAAGTCACATGTGTGTCCCCCAAGCCTACAAGGTGAATCAGAAGCTGCAGTGCATCCTTGGTTGAATGGCAGATGAGTGCAGACAAAAGGATGCAGGGGTGGTTAGCCTCAGCCTGGATCTAGACTCAGTCCCAGTCAGGAGTGAAGGTAAAAATTCCATCAGTGGGTTGGTCTAAGCACTAAGGCACTTAGGGCACCTCTGACCTGGAGGGAGTCCTGCCTCCATAAAGTTCCACAGACACAAGTTGGGGAACCTCCAAGGTATAAGGCAGCTGTAGGGAACCATGCGAGTTTCACTTGCCTTTATTTTTATTAAAGCAACAGTCACATAACATACAATTAAGCCTTTTAAAATATGAAAATCACAAGAGTACAGTAAATACACAATGTCTCAATGACAACGTCTATCTAGTTTCAAGAAGTTTTTAAACTCCCCACCCACCACCCGAAAACACACACACACACCAAAAAAAAAAACAAAACCAGGAGTCCGTCTCCCATCTGCCCTCCTGGTCAGCCCCTGACAAACCAATCTAACTTCTATTTCTAGGGGTTTCCTTCTACTGAACATTTCACTTAAATGGAATCACACAAAACCTGATCTTTTGTGTCTGCTTTCTGTCACTGAACTGCATTATTTTGACATTCGCTCACATGTACCAGGTACCCGTCCTTTGTTCTTTATGGTTTAAAAAATCCCAGGGTTGAGAAGATACCTCATTTTGTTGGGATGGATGTGGTCCAGCATGAAGACATATAGATGTGAATCCAAACCAGCCATGTGAGACGGACCCTCATGTCACAGGGTGAGAACAGAAGGGCAGTGGAGGAGAGTCAGGGAGGTCAGGGAGGGAGGGACAGCAACTCAGGTGGATGGAGGAGGACATGACCCACGTTCTCCTGCACCCAGACCTCACCTATCACGTCTACTCCCCATGGATATTCTCAACAGACAGTTTCCCCAACTATGGTCCTGACTTTCTTTAGGCACCTCCTGGGATCCTCAGATGCCCTCAAGACTCCGTGACTCTGAACGATGCGTTGTTGCCTCTGTGGTCACATCCTGGTTGCATCGCAGGCCCTTCTGGTATCATTTCTAGCCTGAAATAGCAGCACCCCGAGGACCACCAGGATCAAGCCAGACACGCCCATCCGGGTGAGATTCTCCACTGTGTAGTCTTGGGGATGGAAAAATAAGAATTGTGGGTAAAGAA